GTGGACTGCCTGAGCCCGCAGGTTCGAGACCAACCCGGGTAACTTGGTGAGACCTCTTCTCTACAATAAATCACCAAAACTTGCCGGACGTGGTGGCGTGCGTCTGTAGTTCCGGCTACTTAGAAGGCTGAGGTGGAAGGATTGGCGGAGCCCAGCAGGTCAACATTGGGGTGGCCATGAGTGTGCGCTGCTGCCTGAATGACAGAGTGAGACTCTAACTAAAAAAAAAAAAAGATACGGTAGTGAGTGGCACCTTTCCCTACTAGTCTCAGCTATAGCTCTCTCGGAGCAACTGCTCTGGCCTATGCACACCAGCACTGCGGGCACTGAGGGGCATATATAGTTGGGGTGGCGGGACTAGTTTCCATCCACATAGGGGTGCTTCTGCAGTGGCTTACAGGCTGGCATTAAATACGAGCTTCTGAATGACAGACCATGGCTGATGTCTGTTGGTCTTCTGGGGAGGCATTTAGGAAGTATTAGAAAGTCTGAAAGGCAAGCTGTAACTGGTGGCTTTGTTTTTGAGCTGTTCAGAAATGGAGTTGATATATTTAGCATCAAAACTAGCACCTGCTTTGATACAGAACTAAAAGACAGGATCGTCTTATTCCGAATTGCATAAAGAGCTGGTTTCTTGTCTCTCAGAGTTGCTATATGTTTATTTCAGTTATACTAGAAGTGTAAATATCTTGTATATAATACATATGCAGTGGTACAATTAAAAGTCAACTTTCTAGTAGGGAGGAAGAAAACTAACTCAGATCATAGAAAAGTCCCCCATTCTACTTACTTTTTTGTAACTTGAGGTTTCTGGTCTCTGGCTACCAAATATGCAGAGGACAGATATCTACAGTGAAAGAGAGAACAGCCCAGAAAGGAGAAAGGAGACTTTGTATGCCATATGCCTGGGCTGCTCAGATACCACAGAGAAACTGAACTGAGCTTTTGACTAAGGCAGCAGGTGGACTGGATGGAAAAAGAAACTGGTTTTAGTCTGCCTCAGATACCTGAACACCTTATTCTTAATCTCAGGGGTTGAATGCAAAATACTTGTAAATATATGTCCTCTTACCCTTCCCACGGCTCAGCATAAGCTGCCATGATTTGTCCCTTGCCATGTATCACCTTGGCCTCGGCCATCACCCAAGGGGAAAGAGAGACATCCTTTCAAAAAGGAAAGCCAGCAGGTGAATTCACTGGTGACTAGAAGCACATCTGTGAGATATGTGCAAGGGAGTAAGCCTGGACTTGACTTTCGTCAAAACCAGCATGCTCACGGGACAAGGATGTAAGTTTTCCAATTTAAATGCATTGGACATAGTCAGTTCTTGTGGTCTCCTCGAGGTAGCTTGCCTTCCATCCTTGCAATGTTGGAACTTTCTAGAGTGTCTGTGGTTCTCCCAGCTCCTTTCTGGAGGAAGCACCAGCACCTTTGCAAACCGTAGTCCATGTCGTTTCAGGTATTTAGGGAACGGCAGCTCTGACCTGCAATAAGGGGACCCATTGTGATCTGTAGAATTTGTATAATTTCTCTGTGTGCTCAGAGGACTTTCTGGGTCTGTATGTGTCTTCTTTTTGCAAGGGCTTGGTAGTTAATTCCATGGTCTGTGCCATCTTTGGGTGGTGGCTGCTGTTTGGAAGACAATTGTATGATGGTTAGAGATGAGACCGCTTGCAGAAAGGGATGTGTGTCTAGAATCCCAGCCTAGAGAGGCTGAGGTTAGGTCAGATCATGGGTGCCCCATGACCAGATCACATCTGAAAAGACCTCCTGGACTGTGTATAGCAGATTCCAAAATTCGGAGTTTACTGTCTTGAATTTATTATTATTATTTTTAAGATGTGGGTTAAGATTCAGATTTCGGTATACAGGTGGTCATTGTACAGGTTACTGTCTTGAATTTATGTAACATTTTATAAGTTGTTTTTCCAAAGGAAGATAGACTTTTTTTTTTTGAGTCAGAGTCTTACTCTGTTTCCAAGGCCAGAGTGCAGTGGCACAATCTTAGCCACTATAGCCTCTACCTGTTGGGCTCAGGTGATCCTTCCATCTCAGCCTTCCAAGTAGCTGGGACTACAGGTGTGTACCACCAAGCCCAGCTAATTTTTTGATTTATTGTCGAGATGAGGAATGCTATATTGCCCAGGCTGGTCTTGAACTCCTGAGCTCAGGCAGTCCTCTTGCCTCAGCCACTCAAAGTGCTGAGATTACAGGTGTGAGTCACTGCACCTCGCTGAGAAAAATAGATTTTTTAAAAAGCGACTATGTGGTCATCTAGAAAATTTTAGCAAAATAAAACTGGAAGGTGGTTGCAATTCCACTGTGCAAAGGCAACCACGATTTGCATTTAAGATGACGTCCTTGTGCACATCACTTTTTGCAAATTTTAAAGAATGTTGGTACGTGGGATCATACCGTAGGTTCTATTTCTAATCTGCTTTTTCTCTTTTACAATATTACAGGTGTCATTTTAGATTCACAGGGAGCTCTTGGAGCAGGAGACTCAGGCATTATTTCCATTTTATAGTTACCAAAATTAGATACAGAGAGTCTTACCTAGGCTTGCAGAGAAAGCCAAGAGTTCATTGAAGTTCCTGATTGTGAATGAAGGGCTTGTATTATCTTTGTATTTATTTATTTATTATTTTAAAAAAATTTCAATAGCCTTGGGGGACTTGGAGGCTACAAATAATTTTGATCTGGGCTTTAAGCATATACATGTCCTGACAATTAAGTTCGCAAACTCATCCTAGTAAAAGTGCTGCATACCTCATTGCTGGACATCGCTGTGATCACCTTCGAAGTATTCCTCTTGGGACTCTATCCACCAGCATTAGCACCTAGTCCACCCATCAAAGCTATTTTGGAACACTTTTTCTGGAGGCCGTCAGAGCTGTCGTATTACCCTTGATGTCCTGAATGTCATCAAAATGTCTTCCTTTCAATATTTACTTTATCTTCAGGTAAAGAAAAAAGTCACTGGGGATCAGATCGGGTGTGTAGGGAGGGTATTCCAAAACAGTTATTTGTTTACTGGCTTAAAACTTCCTCACAGACAGTGCTGTGTGAGCTGGTGCATTGTTGTGATGCAAAGAGCTCCTTTGGGAGCATTTTGCGCACAACTTTCTCATGCCAAAGATTTTCAGTTAAGGTTTTCCTAATTGTTTCTCTAGCCATGTTTGTTTGGTTTGCTATGCTTCTTACAGTCAGCTGATAATTTTGACATACAATTTGACAGACTTTTGCAGTGTTTTTATCAGTTCTGCTCATTACTGGTTGTCCTGACCTCTCTTTATCAGTGATGCCCCTTCTCTCCCCTCAGAAAAACATTTAATCCATTTATACACTGCTGTTTTCTTCATGGCATTACCCCCATGAACTTGAACTAACATGTCCCTGATTTCACTTCCATTCTTGTCAAGCTTAACAAGAAATTTAATGTTTGTTCGTTGTTGTAATTCAAGATCTGACATTCTTGTGATGGCACACAAAAACATGCAACAACAATAATGAATGTCACTCAGAGGACATTGCCATGCCACATGCCAACACAAACACAGCTGTGAGACACAGATATACCAAGGCTAAGGAACCGTACCAAGTTCTTTGTACAGTGCTGCCAGCATAAGCGCATGGTGGCAAGTTCACAAACTTAATTGTCAGATCTTGTATCTTTATATCTATAAAGAACTCTTATTTGAGATGCCAAAGGGAAAAAAAATGCTGTCTGTATATTGGAATTTCCCCTCTACTAGAATTTTGGGGTATGACGTAAGTTCATCAGTATTCTCAAACATTGTGACTTGGCTGTCTTCTTGCTTTATTGCATTTGAGAGCCAAAACTCACGGTATGTGGGTGTTTCCCTGGGGATAGGATCCCTTTCTCCTTCTCACCAGTATTCTCTGTTGTCAGAACTGATGTGACACTGACTGGTGATACTTTACTTGGATTCTTTAAAAAAATGTTTTAGAGAAATAATAGTTAGTGATTATTGAGTTCTTACTATATGCCAGATACAGACCTAACTTTTTAAACAACTTTTTGACATTTAATTCACATATCATACAGTTTACCCTTTTAAAGTGTACCCTTCAGTGGTTTTTACTACATTCACCGAGTTGTGCAACCGTCACCACAATCCACTTGAGGACATTTCACCACCTCCAGAAGAAACCCCATACCATGAGCAGTCATTTCCCATTTCTACTCCTCCCCTGCAAGCCCCAAGCAGTCACTAATCTATTTTCTGTTTCTAGAGATTTGCCTATTCTGGATATTTCATATCAACGGAATCAGGTCACATGGAGCTTTTTTGTGTCTGGTTTCTTTCACTCAGTATAATGTTTTCAAGGTTTATCTATATTGTAGCATGCATCAGTACATCATTATTTATATTGCTGAAAAATACTCTGTTGTATGAATACACTGCATTTTGTTTATCTACTTATCAGTGCCTGGACATTTGGGTTGTTTCTACCTTCTGGTTATCATGAATAATGCTGCTGAGAACATTTGTGTGTAAGACATATGTTTATAATTCTCTTGGGTGTGTATATCTAGGAGTGAGATTTCTTGGTCAAATATTAAGTCGATTTTTAATCTTTGAGGTACTGCCAGACTTTCGAGGTACCCTACTAGCCATATGTGAGGGTTTGTTTTCTCATATCCTCCTCAACACTTGTTATTGGACTCTTTTGGTATTGGGCTTCTCAGGCAGTAGTTTTTCTGATAATTCTGTGTTGCTCAAACCAGGAAGGAATGTGTATTTCAGTGCGGGAGTTTATTAAGTGACGTGTGCAGAGGCAGCATGTCTGCCCTTCGGACTGGGCCTGAACATTGGCTATACGTGGGGTGCGTGGTGCGCATGGGCGCTGGATGTGCACCCTGCCTTTTTGCATTCACTTGAATACCAGTGGGCTTAAAAGTATTTTCCCATGTAATCTTGCATGTCTGTTCACCTTCCTTGCCTCTTCTTATTCTCTCCCCTTCTTTTCCCAGGGACCTTGAAGCCAGAGCACAGAATGAGTTCTTCCGGGCTTTCTTCAGGTTGCCGCGGAAGGAGAAGCTGCATGCGGTCGTGGACTGCTCGCTCTGGACACCTTTCAGCCGCTGTCACACCGTGGGGCGGATGTTTACCTCTGATAGCTACATCTGCTTTGCCAGCAGGGAAGACGGCTGCTGTAAGGTCATCCTTCCGCTCAGAGAGGTAGCCACTGCCCTACTATGTGCCTCCTGAGGCGGTCTTTTGCCATCGAACCTGCAGTTGCCGGCTATAAGATGAAACATGGGAGGGTGTGTTCAAACAGCATGGCTTTGCCATCTAAAGATTGTCAACTGGGTGACTTGGCACTTGAGGGAAATATGGCCTGAACCGGACCATTACCCATTTGGCCATTGTTTGTTCTGTTGTTGCTATAGCAACCTGAAATTGGCCTAGAAGTGATTGGTGAAAACAGTACTCTAACCTCAAAACAGTACTCTAACCTTCCCATTACTGATAAAGCTGTTATTTTTAAAAAGTACATGCCTAGCAATTAAAGCTTTCCCAGCAGGTCTTAGGAACCAATCATCTCCTTTCCCCTTCCAAAAAACGAAAAAAGACAGCTTATACAAGTGTCATCTTTTGAAAATCAGTGGTAAATTGCTTGGCTTTTATAACCCTCTGGGAAATTTAGTTAAAAATTATCAACTGCTTCCTGTAATATGGATCAGGTCCCTTCATCCTATGGAATTCTGCAGTTCTCTTCCCAGAAACAAGGGCCGCCTGAGTTATTCCAGACCTGAGCACCTTAGTTCTCTGATTTCAAGGCGTCTGCTGAGAGACAGCACCCACAGCTCTGTTATGCCTCAAGACCTCCAGATGCTTGTAACATAGGTGCTGGATGCTGTTCTTTGGAAAAACTCAAAACTCTTTTATTCATGTGCCCTCCCGTCTCCATGTCATTATTCCGTAGTAGATGTCTTCATTTCATAAATATTTTTACTTGTCTGTGGAGAAGAAATCAGGGAGTTGCCTTATATACATTTACAAAATATGGTGACATATGAACAACAAACAAAATCATTGTCACCATTTTTAAATGTATAGTTTAGTGGCATTAAGCACATTCACATTATTGTGCAACTACCACGTGTCATCTCCAGAGTCTTTTCCTTTTCCCAAACTGAAACTCTGTACCATTAAATAAAGAACTCCCCTTGCTCCTTCCCCAACCCCTGGCAGCTACCCTGCTGCTTTCTGTCTTTATGAATTTGACTGTTCTAGGTCTCTCTTAAAAGTGGAATCATGCAGTATTGGCCTTTTGGCGACTAGCTTATTTCACCGAGCATAATGTCCTTAAGGTTCAACCATGTTGTAGCAGGTGTTAGAATTTCCTTCCTTTGAAGGGCAGAGTAATGTTCCATCGTATGGAGAAGACCACATTTTGTTATCCATTCATCTGTCATTGGAGCCTTGGCTGCTTCCTGCCTTTGGGGATTGTGAATAATGCCATCCCGTGCACTTTCTAACCCTTGAATGGGGTTTCCTATTGCCGTCGTTTGGCTTTGCCTTTTATCTTGGGGTGTCTTCTGGATATGTAATGCCATGCCCTCTTCCTCCTGTCCCTTTGTGGCAGGTGGTGAGCATCGAGAAGATGGAGGACACAAGCCTGCTGCCTCACCCCATCATCGTCAGCATCAGGAGCAAGATGGCCTTCCAGTTCATCGAGCTCCGGGACAGAGAGAGCCTGGTGGAGGGTCTGCTTGTGAGGCTGAAGCAGGTCCACGCCAACCACCCGGCGCACTACGACGCCTCAGTGGATGACGACGTGGTACGGTCCTTCAGGACAATGGCATTCCATATGCTGAAAGTTCCTCTTTTCACCGCTTCTGGGGCAGTGGTCTGCCGAGGGGCATACCCATAAAGAGATACACCTGGGGACGAGAAGGTGACATTTGAGACTCTTGGGCCCGTGTGTAGTCTGGCCTCGTGTCCAGTGCTGGGTGTTCTGAGTGGTACACAGGGAAGAGTGGAATCATGCCACAGGTTGGATGGGGTGGTGGGGACACCCTCTTGACAGGTGAGAGGCGGGTACCCCCACTTCTGAGGTTCGAGGGGATGGCAGTGTTGGGGGCAGAAGTAACTTGCTAGAAGACTGGCTTCATCGTCCTTGAGTCAGTTGGACAGCTGTGGAGATGGACCCGTGCCAGCTGGGGCCCACCCTCCTGCTCTCCTCTTTCCTGACCTCTTTTCACCCAAAATAGCGGCAGGGAGAAAAGGAGATGTGGCCTCTCTCTGGACCGGAGAGCTGCTTTCTCCAGGTGGTCACTCAGTTCCAGAAGCTAGGGAGGCTGAGACTGCCATGAAGAACTGCGCGTGGACCCAGGCTCTTTGTGCCGTCAGCAGCCTCCCTGGGAAGATGCAGGGGGCCGTTTCTTCCTGAGGGTTAAGTCCTGTTGGATCTAGCTTGTCTGCTTTTCTCTTGAGTAGTTTAAGCCTGTTGTGTTTGCGCATCGAAAGGCAAAACAAAGACTGTCTGATCAAAGCAATGGCTTTCTTCTCTTTGTCTGTCTGTGTCTCTTTTGCTGTGCAGGCTTCACCTGTGTTTCATTCAACAAGCATGTGCAGTGACCACAGGTTTAGGGATCTTGAAATGGTGTCTTCTCAAAATAGCAAGGAGAGTGAAAAAGAGAAGAGCCCGCTGCTGCACCCCGACGCCCTGGTCACTGTCTTCCAGCAGTCAGGCAGCCAGAGCCCTGACTCCGGAATGGTGGGTGAGGCGGCTCTGCCTCGCTGGGCCTGTGGGTGGTTGCCCAGATGTCTGAGCTGCCGGGGAATGTGACCCTTGTACCCACCAGCTTCTCAGGGTTTTGGGAGGTTGGGTTGGCCAGGTGGCCAGGCGACCTCGAGAAGCCAGCACGCCTCCTCCCTCTTGTCCAAGAAAATAAAAAAGCAGCACAAATCAGATAGGAGGTGGGGTGGAGCTGGGGGGTATTAGGGGAAGCTTCATCAGGATGTCAATGCCGAGCCAACTGCACTGAGGCAAATGCTCTCACTGGGTTCTGAACTCTTAGAGAGCTGGTACTCTGTGTTATTCATCTTCCCGTCTGCTGTGTCTATTAGAGATTCAAAAATATTGGTTGGTGAAAAGTAAAAGGGGTCCACCCATGTGGTCAAAGGACTGAGGGGGCTGCTCTCCCCGCCTGCCCTTCAGGGGCTCTCAACTGTGTGGCCTGGAGGGCAGGCAGCACTGTCCCTGGGGGTTCCAGGTGCAAAACAGGTTCTTCTCTCCACCCAGTAGCATCGGTGCCTGCTCCTTGTTACAGCATTCCTTCTTATGTCTTCTGGGGCAAAAGGTCACCTGTCTCCTAGTTTTACTGGACTAAAAATATGTTTGCTATATTTCCTGACAGGTTTCATCTTTGTAGGGAGAATTTGAGGTAAATGCCATGTACAATCAGGTAAAGAGACCAGAAGTTAGACTTGGAAAATAGGGCTGGGGCAGGGGGCTGCCACGTTGTACCGTGAGTACCAGAGGGTGGCTGCAGACGTCATCACCCTAGACTTCTTTCTGGCTGCTTAGCAGCCCTCGTAACTGATGGTTAGCTTGGTGTATCCAGAACGGAGCCCTCTCATCTGCTTTACCCACAGATGCTTAATCAGCCCTTGTTGAATACACACGTGAGAATGTTGAATGTATATATGTACTACTTTCATTACTGGAGAATACAGATAATTAAAAACAAATATAAATAATCTTGTTTAAGAGGCACTAAACATCCCTGCTATGTAGTGGTAATTTTAAAGTATTTTCGGTTATCTAGGGAAATGGTATCAGGCTGAGCTCGGTGGCTCACACCTATAATCCCAGCACTTTGGGAGGTCAAGGCAGGAGGATTGCTTGAGTTTAGGAGTTTGAGACCAGCCTGGGTAACATAGCCAGACTTCATCTCTAAAAAAAAATTTTAAAAGTCAGCAGGGTGTGGTGGTGCATACTGTAGTCCCAGTTACTCAGGAGGCTGAGGTGGAAGGGTCACCTGAGCCCAGGAGGTCAAGGCTGTGGTGAGCTGTGATCGTGCCACCACATTCATCCAGCCTGGGTGACAGAATGAGACCTTGACTCAAAAAAAAAAAAAAAAAAAAAGTATTTTTTCTGATTTCTGTTTATGAGAACAATATAACTTTTCAGGTTTCAATTTTCCCTCTGGCTGTCAGGAAGCTCAGGGCAGATTGTGACATCCTTTGCTCACCCTTCCCCACTGAACTGGCCAATGTTTCAGCAGTGGGTTCAGCATTAATATCCTGAGGAAGCTTCCCCTAACATCCCCCAGTCCCACCCCACCTCCTATCTGATTTGGGCTACTTTAGGGTTTGGATTTATATTTTCTTATTGTCAACTTTGCCAAAGGAGTTGCATTTTATTTGTATCAGTGCTCTCACTGGGCTCTGAACTCTTAGAGGGTTGGTACTCTGCTATTCATCTTTGCATTCTCTGTGCCTGGTAGAGATTCAAAAATATTTGCTGCTGGAATACAGGTGTCATTGCCAACCCCCTTGGTTCCTCTGTTAGCAGAGGTGGTACTTCCTCCACTGTGGATTGTGAGTTGGCTGTGGGGCGGGTGTGTACAGGCTTCTTTGTATGTTAATAACATGTCCATTTCCAGTCCAGAGAACAGATAAAGATAAGTCTGTGGAATGACCACTTTGTGGAATATGGCAGAACCGTGTGTATGTTCCGCACAGAGAAGATTCGGAAGCTCGTAGCCATGGGGATTCCTGAGTCTTTACGTGGACGACTCTGGCTCCTTTTCTCAGGCAAGTGCTTCTGGTGTTTTTAGGCCAAATGTGGTTGTTGGAGTGGACCCAGGCACACGCTGTAATCTGAGGTGTGCGTGTGTGTGTGTGTGTGTATGTGTGTGTGTATGTGTGTGTGCAGACAAAGTCATCTGTCTTTGGGTTATTCCTGTGAATCCCCTGCTGAGGGCTTTGGAGCCGTGTGTTAGTTGTGAGACAGTGGTCAGGTTGCCTGAGGGCCCTGGGCTGCAGTGTCCTCCTCACTAAACGTGAGGTCTGAGTGAAGTGATCTCTTTTCTTTTAAAAATGACTTTATGAGTCTCCACGTAGTGTTGAGAATTCTAAGAACCTCCTGGAGGTGAAGTGTCTTTGTAGGAGAGAGCTCTGAAATAGACCAAAAGAAATCCTTGTGTATGGTGGACTGGCCGTGGTGCTGAAGCAAATCTCTCAGAATGTCGTTTCCACAGTCCGTCCTCTGTTGAAGACACACGGCACCCACAATAGGCAAAATGCAGATCTGACTTCTGTTCCACTTCCTGCTTCCACTGCTTGACCCATTCAGTGAGGGCCTTTTTCAGCCTCAGACCCTGTGACTTCCCTCTCACTGTTGGGTAGCAGCTAGGAGCCCCCTGTCGGGACATTTATTAGTGGGTGGGCTGAGACGGACCAGAATACCCATCCCCCTCCCCGGTCCTGCCCGAGAGATCCAAATGCACAATTTGTGCTTTCCACCATGCTCAATGGCGTCAGGCTTGGTCCATGTTCTTTATGGTTCTTGAACCGTTGCACACCTTGTTTCCTTCTTGCCTCCTGCTGGTTTCTGCAGCTGCTGACCAGAGACATATATACCATCAAATCACCTCCTTTTAAAAATAAAAAAATGTCTCCTGTATTTTGTATATAATAAAAATAGTGTACAGTCATAATTGAAAATAAGCACAGAGGAGCAGGCAAAGGAAGTAACATTACTCATAACCCCCTCCCCACCTGCCACTGTCCCTACATCCTTCTAGGCCCTTCTAACCTGCAGACACACATGCACTTTTCCTGTAGGACCGTGCTTTCCTGTTTTCAGTCTGGGACTATATGAACATACGGGTATTTCCTTTGTTGACAGAAAGATCACTGTGGCATTTAAGCTGTTGGTGACTGAGTGATGGTTTTTAGCATAAGTGCTGGTTATCACACAGCGATACCATGGGGACTGTTTAACAGAGATGATGGGAGACACCGTGAGCCACTGCGGACAGGAGAGTCGAGAAGGAGGGTGTTTGACTGCAGCCAGTCCGAACAGTAAAACGTTAACCAGTGCTTGAAGGTGGACTCGGACCCCTTTCTGCCTTCCGCTGCCCTCAGCCCCTCCTTGCTGCCAGCCCCTGGGAGGGACGCTGGCTGAAACCTCAGGTGCTTTGGTGCTGGTTGATGAGACGTGGAGTCCTCACATGGTGCTGATTCGTTCATTCCCTGATCTTGGGACCAGGGTGGCAGCTTGGCAGTGGGTGGCTGACGCAGGCAGTTTTCTGTGTTTGGCGGCCCTGCTGTGGTCTGCACGTCTTGACCCTGACCTTCGGAGTCTCATGTTGGCCCCTTTGTAGTAATAGTTTGTTAGCTTTACGCCGTCATGATTGCACCTTCTAAGTGCTTTACACATAGGTGCTCAGTGTAATTTCTTGCTGAATTAATGTGTGAATGTGTGTGTGTATGTGTGTGTGTACACACACTCCTGTTAACTGGGGAATACAGCTTATTAAGAGTATATTGATAAAATTATTTCTATTGTGAATTTTTTTCCTCTCCATATAAAATTATTCTTTTAAAAGCCTCCTTCCTTCCTTCCTTCCTCCCTTCCTTCCTCCCTCCCTCCCTCCCTCCCTCCCTCCCTCTCTCTCTCTCTCTTTCTTTCTTTCCAAAGCAGGAGTTGTTGAGGGGACAGAAAAACTCCCACAGTGGGAGGGGATCCAAAGGGGGTACCCCTCTTTTATTTTTTATTTTGGTTTTTGGCCTTGGCCATGTGGCAGCAATGAAGTCCTTTTGGGTGTGTGTGGACTCAACATATTTTAGTTCCCTCAGTAAGTAATAAGACTCCATTGGGGTCTCCTGACATGACGAGCCTCCTCTTAGTAGTGATGCCATCCTGGTCCTTATTCCTCCTTGCATCGTTGCTTTTGCAACTCAGATGCCGTGACAGACCTCGCCTCACACCCAGGCTACTATGGCAATCTGGTGGAGGAGTCCCTGGGGAAGTGCTGCCTGGTGACTGAGGAGATAGAGCGGGACCTGCACCGCTCCCTGCCGGAGCACCCTGCCTTCCAGAATGAAACAGGCATCGCGGCTTTGAGGAGGGTCCTGACTGCCTACGCCCACCGGAACCCCAAGATTGGATACTGCCAGGTGAGGTGGAGTGCCCCGAGTGCAGAGACCCCTCAGTCTGTGTCTCACGCTGACCCCCAGGACTTTGGTTCTGTTGCCAGCCCTCTTGTGACAGCACTGGACTGGGCCCCTTCCCGGAAGGAAGGTATCTAATGAGAGCCAAAGGAAATCACCTCATACGGCCAAACAGGTTGATCATTTGAGATTTAAAAGTTTACCCTGGGCCGAGCGCGTCAGCTCAAGCCTGTAATCCCAGCAGTTTGGGAGGTTGAGGTGAGGGTATTACCTGAGCCCATGGGTTCGAGAACAGCCTGGGCAACTTGGCGAGACGTCATCTCTACAATAAATCAAAAAATTAGCCGGGTGTGGTAGCACATGCATGTAGTTCCAGCTACTTGGAAGGCTGAGGCAGTAGGATCTCCAGAGCCCAGCAGGTCAACACTGGGGTGGCCGTGAGTGTGCCTCTGCACTCCAGCCTGGGCTACAGAGTGAGAATCTGACTCAAAAAAAAAAGTTTACCCTGAGCCTGAAAAGAGGACATGTGGAGTGACTGCTGGCCGAAGGGTAGATTCCGTTTTCAGTGTCCCCTTGGAGCTCAGCCTCAGGATGGGACTAACAGAACCTCTAGAACTCTGCAGAAATTATTGGGGTCATTTGAAATGACAGTGCTATTTGGGGAGAAAAAAGATGATTAAGAAACAACCCGTTCCTTCAGGAAACGTGAGTGGAGGTAGAACGTCCTCTGAGCTGTTCCTGAGCTCAGGGATGCAGTCAACAAGCACAGCATGAAAGCAGGGATTAAAACGGCAGCAAGAGCCCACCCAACACCAGACTGTGTTGGTGAAGCTTCTGACATTTCAAAATTTGAGATTTCAGACTTTGCTTTCCTGTGAATAAGCAAAATCAACGTTAATGAAGTTGTGTGTGGGTGTGGATTTGAACATACGCAGAGAAAGCAGCTGGATTTGATCCATGCTGGAGACTTGCACCACGGCTAGATCTCACATTACTGGATGGGGCAGGGCGGACTGGTGGCTGCTGCTCCACTAAGTGTGTCTTGAGCGGGCCATGCTGGTGTCTCAGGCAGCCCATTTTATAGTGTCCCTGTGGCTGGGGTATGCTGGATCTCTCACCTCCAGAGTCTTCACTGTTGTGGGTCATTTGGACTTGTGGGTTTTTCGTGTCTCAGTGGCATCACGTCTGTAACTGTCCCTCCTCTGACCCCCAGTCCATGAATATCCTGACCTCTGTGCTGCTCCTGTATGCCAAGGAGGAGGAAGCCTTTTGGTTGCTGGTCGCCGTGTGTGAGCGGATGCTGCCTGACTACTTCAACCACCGAGTGATCGGTAAACCGCCTCCCTTCCTCCTCCTCTGCCTCTGGGAACGGTGACAGAGCCCGGGCAAGATGTTTGTCATCAATCTGGTTTACAGAATCCCTCAGTACCGCTCAGCTAGTCTATGTGCAGACACGGTTTGGCTTGTGAGTTTGCACAGCTAACTCAGGAATCCTCTGTGCACTTCTGGCAGTAGAGTGGAGGAAGATAACCCCAATATGCTCCTGCTATAAACACCTAAAGATTTTGAATTCAAACAAACCAATGATTTTAGATGGATAGATGAACTTACTAGGAGAAAGGATGGTCCCTAGGCCCAAGAAACAAGTTGAAAAGTGAAAACCAGAGTGGTTTTTCCCTGAGGCCATGGCCTGAAGCAGAGGTGCCTCTCGGTAGCCCGGGGTGCTTATACAGATGGGAGGTCCTCAGTTCCCCTAGAGGAGAGAGGGGATGAGGGGATGCTGCTGGAGCCCTTCAAGGTCCAAACCTTCAGTTAAAGGGCAGACTTGGAAAAGTCCCTTGCTTCCATAAAGAGATGGTAAGAAAGAGGCCCAGCGATGGCCCAGCACTTTGGGAGGCTGAGGCTGGAGTATTGCTTGGACCTAGGAGTTGGAGAACAGCCTGGGCAATACAGTGAGACCTCATCTCTCCAAAAAATGAAAAACCGGGTGTGGCCTTGGCTACTCGGGAGACTTAGCCCAGCAGGTTGAGCCTGTGATCCTGCCACTGTACTGCGACCCGGGCGACAGTGAGACTCCAGCGCCAAAACAACACGTGTTTGCTGCTGACTGGGCTCTGGTAAATCTACAGCCCCACACAGTGCCTGTGTCTTTCATGCGGTTGAGATTTGAACGTGTGCTCTCTCTGAGGTCCAGCAACCACCTATAGAGAAAATAATAAGCACATTTTGGGAACTGGTGATCCCAGGGATGCTTCTTAGTAACTCAGATGAGAGATGGGGGTGGCCTAAAATTAGGGTGGCAGCTGTGGGAACAGGAACGAAAGAACCAACTTGAGACAGAATTCAGAACTAACTGGATATAGGGGCAAGGCCGGGGGAAGGAGCTTTGAAGACTGAGTCCTGAGAACTGAAGGTGGTAAGGAGGGGCAGAGTGGTAGGTATGCTTGGCTGGGAAGGCTGCACTAGCTGGGACCTTTGGGTTATAGGCATACCTTTCGGTGAGCTTTTGGCTGTCTTCACCAGCTCCCCTTGTGTGTCTGAGTGGTTCATTATTTCATTTCCCTTTTCACTCTGTGTTGTGGGAAGCCGTGTAATGATGTAACCAGTGTAATGTACAGAGTAGCAAAGAATAATCAGAACCTCAGTGTCATTGAGAGGCATCTTGTCAGGGCCATTGACAAAGCCATTGCTTAATGAGTGTTGCGATGTGACACCATACTCAACAATGACCAGCCAGACTCTCTGTGATAGTTGATAGTGTACATACCTGTGTGACTGCTGCCTCAAGTCAGGAGGGGACATTTGGAAGATTTCTGTTACCCTAGAAACCGCCCTTCTGCCCCTTACCTGCCATAGGCAATGCTTGGTGCGGATTCCTACCATCATAGATTACTCGGGAGACTTAGCCCAGCAGGTTGAGCCTCTGATCCTGCCACTGTACTACAACCTATTCTTTTTTTTATTTGTATTTTTTATTTTTGAGTTGAGGTCTTACTCTTTCACCCAGACTGGAATGCAGCGGCACAATCACAATTCATTGCAGCCTCTAACTACAGGACTCAGGCGATCCTCCTGCCTCAGCCTCCTGAGTAGCTGAAATTATGGGTGCATGGCACCACACCCAGCTAATTTATTTTTATTTTTATTTTGTAGAGATGAGGTTATTCTGTTGCCCAGGCTGGCCTTGAACTCCTGGAAGTGATTCTCCCGCCTTGGCCTCCCAAAGTGCTGAGATTACAGGCAGGAGCTACCATGCCTGGCTAATTTGGCCTATTCTTGATCTTTGTGTAAATGTAATAATAGAGAACGTAGTCTTTTGTGTCTGGCTTCTTTCACACAATGTAATGTCTGAGAGGCAGCCACATTGTTGGTGCATCAGTAGTGTGATCCTCTTAGTTGCTGAGCAGGATTTCACTATGTATTCATACCGTGTTTTGTTTGTACAGTCACCTATTGATGGGCACATGAGTTGCTTCCAGTTTGGGGCTATGATAAATAAAGTGGCAGTGAGCATTCACAAACGAGTCTTTTTGGGACTATATGGCCATTTTTCATGGGTATCTATGAGTAGAATTGCTAGGTCGTAGGTTAGATATATGACTTTTTTTTTTTTTTGAGTCAAAGTTTCACTCTGATGCCCAGGCTGGAGTGCAGTAGCACGCTCACAGCCACCACAGCCTTGATCTACTGGGCTCAGGTGATCCTTCTGCCTCAGCTTTACAAGTAACTGGAACCAAAGGCATGCACCACCACACCCGGCTAATTTTTTTTATTTATTGTAGAGATGGGGTCTCGCCAAGTTGCCCAGGCTGGTCTCGAAACCCTGGGCTCAGGCATTCCTCTCACCTCCCAAAGTGCTGGGATTACAGGTGTGAGCCACTGTGCTTGGCTAGATGTATGACTTAAGAAGAAAGTTCAAAGTGTTTTTTATAGTATTAGCTTTTATATTTAGGTCTAATCTATTTCAAAATATTTTTCTGTATGGTTTGAGGTAGGGGTTGGGGCTGCTTTTTTTTTCACCCCATACCAATATTCATTTGAGTGAGCACTGTATTTTGAAAAGACTGTCGTTTGCTCATTGAATTACCTTGGTTAAAATGTCAAAAATCAGTGAACTAAGTGTGGGTGCTTTTCTGGACTCAGATTCTTTCTCCTTACTATGGTTACCTCAGAGTAATTTATTTGCACACCGGCTTTAGAGAGAGTGAGTCCTGCCCCAACCAGAGCCCCACGGCCTTCCTTTTCCAGGGGCGCAAGTGGACCAGTCTGTCTTTGAGGAGCTCATCAAGGGCCATCTCCCAGAGCTGGCGGAGCACATGAATGACCTCTCAGCCCTGGCATCCATCTCTCTCTCCTGGTTCCTGACCCTGTTCCTCAGCATCATGCCTCTGGAGAGTGCGGTGAATGTGGTAGATTGCTTCTTCTACGATGGGATCAAAGCCATCTTCCAGCTGGGGCTGGCTGTGCTGGAAGCCAATGCTGAGGACTTGTGCAGCAGCAAGGACGACGGCCAGGCCCTGATGATCCTCAGCAGGTGGGCCCAGCCACCTGTTTCTGTGGCTAATGGGGGGCGGGGGTGGGGTGTGAAACGGGCAGCAGCAACCAGGACCTTGGACAACCACAGGAGGAGGCAGCAGCAGCTGCTCAGGGCCCTTGCTGTGGAAGTTTTCTGTTCCACTCTGCCTCTCGGCTGCCATCACACCATGGTCCCCCCAAGCCAGGCTGCCATGTGGCACTGTCACCCACATAGGTTGGAGGGTGCCGTCTTCCCTTACTCCTCTCCACTGAAAGAGTCCAGGAAGAAGAGGGCTCTAAATGCTTTTCTCTAGTTGTCTTGCATCGAGATGGACTCACAGTGGCCTTGAACGCAGCTTGGGGGGGACAGCAGGCCACGTGGGTCTCAGGCAGGCGGTGCACGTATGGCTGGTGAGCTGAAGGAAAAGCCACCTGGGATAAGCTCTAGAACCTGGCTCTCTGGGAGCCAAGGGCAAGTCGACTGACATTTAAAGAGGAGGTTCTCTTTTAGAATTATTAGGGAAGTTTATTATTGCTTGCATGCATGCATGGAATCTTGTGCTTCTTTCCCTGGAGAGGTTTAAGCCCCCAGAAACCCTCCCATGTAACCCTGTTGATGAGCCTGGTTTTATGTCTGTCTCTCCCTTTCTCTAAAATAAGCAGAGTATCTGCAGGCTCACCCTCCTACCGGGTGTTGGTGTTTGGAGGTGCACTGGCATGTCTAAGGCCCTGTGGGGGTAGTGGGTGTTGGGTGGTGCCCGGATGAGGATAAACTTGGGCTTTGACTGGCTGGTGTACTCAGGTTTCTAGATCACATTAAGAATGAGGACAGTCCGGGGCCCTCAGTCGGCAGCCACCACGCCTTTTTCTCTGACGACCAGGAGCCTTACCCTGTGGCTGACATTGCTGACCTGATCCGGGACTCCTATGAGGTAATGGGAGCTCCCACCCTGTGCCCCAACACCTTAAGCCCCTTGGAAATGCGACTGGGAGGCGGGCGAGGAGGGAGGTTTCCTGGCACTTCCTGTTTCCACTGTTGGGATGAGAAAGGGACTCTGAGCAGTGGTCCTTTGTTTCCCTGCAGAAATTTGGAGACCAGTCCGTGGAGCAGATTGAGCACCTGCGCTATAAGCACAGGATCAGGGTTCTCCAGGGCCATGAGGACACCACCAAGCAGAATGTGGTGAGTACAGTCCACGTCACAGCAACGCTCGTGGGCTTCAGGGGCTAACCAGGTGTGTGTGTCTCTGTGGGTTATGTCACATGAGAACACCAGCCTTTTTTCTTTCTGTATTCTATTTAAAACGTAATAGGGGTTCCAGGGGATAGACACAACATGGGCTTTAGTGTCAGTTTGTGAGTATATTAACCCCTGTAAACCTCAGATTCCCCAGTTGTAAAATGCTACTGTGCAGGATTGAGGTACAATAGAGAAGTGTCTAGTGCAGATGACCTGCAGGGAGTGTCCACTGTTATTCAGAAGGCTCTTCCTGCCCAAGCTGTATGTCTGGGGGCTTTTTAATTTTTGTTAGAGCTTAATGTGCTTTTCTGAGAAACTGATGTGCAAATTGGAAAGAGGTTGAGGATAAAACACCTGAGAAAGATACTGGAACGCGATCTTTATGTCAGACAGGAGCCATGGTGTGAGGGAAGGAGGAGGCACAGGGCCCCTGCTGTCCCACACCCGGAGGGAGAATCCCCTCCTCCCTGTGGTCCTCCCAGGAACACAGGCTTTGAATGAACTCCGTCACTGTCGATTCTTTCCTGAAGCTTCGCGTCGTTATCCCAGAAGTCTCGATTCTTCCTGAAGACCTAGAGGAACTCTATGACTTATTCAAGGTAGGAGAATCTGGGCAAGCCTCCATGCCCAGCCTGCTCAGGGGTGAGCATGCTGCTGCCTGCAGGGGGTGCCATGTGCCCGTTCTGGGCTGGAATTGCCCTACTGTCAGCCTTGTACCCAGAAACCCCTCCTTTCTACCCAGAAACCCCTCCCCCTCGGCCCTCTACCCTAGAACCCACCCTCCAGCCTGGTGTCTGGGATGAAGGAGCCAGGCAACTTGTGTGGCCCATGCACTGCGCAGGCATGCTCTGCCGAGAGGGCTTTGGTGTGGATGGTCTGCTCTTCTCTGGTCTCTGTGGTCCTGGTCCATGGGGGCGGAAACAATGATCCTTATTGAAACCATCATCTGATGCACTTCTTAATTACTCATGATCCCACAGTACATGTATGCACGTTTTTATGTGTGTGTGGTGAGTGGGCATACTAGTGCATATTATATTTTTCCTTGATGCTGTTCTTAATGCCTCCGTATTGCCATATACTCTTAATCCTTTTTGAGTAACTTGATCATCTACCATATCAGTAATACTTTGATGTAGCACACCAGATTTCTGATACTTGGATATTTACATGGCATCCTAGGTTTGGCTTAAATCACCCTGTAAAGAACATCTTCAGGCACCTTAAAGTTTTCTCGCTCTAAACAGTAAGGAAGAGTAAAAGAGGCAGCTTCATCAGTCCGCTTCTGCTGCCTTATTGCTGAAAGTGAGCCTGGCCTGGAAGACGGCATGGCCTCCAAAGCTCTTCCTGGTGGGACGCTGAGCCCCTTCCCTTCCTGAGCTCAGATGGCACCTGGCTGAGGTGCTTCTGCAGCCAGGCTCTTGTGTGCCCAGCCCTTCGTATGCCTGGAGTTGGCCTTTGCCTACAGTTGGTGAAACGGGCTGTTGGTTAGTGGGTTCCTGGCACCCCTCCTTCCTAATGAGCAGGATGTGTGGTGAGAACCAGCGGGTCTGTGTCTCTGTAAACATTGCCTGTGTGCAAGTTTTATGGTTTCCTTTGTTGCGTGAAGACAAAACACAGAGTCAAAGGTTACATGGTGTCCCAACCTCTTTTTAGCTTTCAAGGAAGGAAAATAGAGAATACTGGAAATATAAAAGCAGAGAAGTAAATGATGTTTTCTTTCTGAAGCCTAAAAAGATTGTTATTTATTTGGTTGTTGGCAAGTTGAGAGAATAGGAGACATCACAGATCTATGGGATTTTATGTAAACTAGTTGTAGTATTCCTTGGCCCATGTATTACAACCAGTTTTGTCTGTATTTTATGGGCCTTTAGCATGACAATATGCACAAATGTACATGGGTATTCAGAGTATGCCTAGAGTTTTCAGAACAGAAGTTTATTAGACCTTTGTTTCACACTTAAAAGTTCTTGGCCACTGCTTTGTTGAGTTGTGGTGTGTTCAGGTGACTCTGTGAGCTATGACTGTCATGTTTTCTTAGTTTTGGCCCCCTCCCCTACCTTGGGGAGATGAACCTTTCCTCTCTCTCTTACTTCCTAAGTAAGCTTTGCTTGAAAACTTAAAAAAAAAAAGTTATTGTGGTAGGTTTCATGATTTTGTAATAACTATTTAAAGAATGTGGCTACAGTGAATATGTTCGTAAAATTCTAAGTCACATTTGGATTTCCATTCAAAGATGTAAGCTTACAGACTACAACATCTGCGCTTGTTTCTGCTCTATCCTTATAGACAGAGGCATTGAAATTGTAAAGAACTCTGCAGTCATTGGGAACCATTTCAGGCTTTTGTGAACCAAGCTGTCCAGAGAGGTGATTTAGTCATGTAGGAGAATATAAACAATGCATTCTGAAGTGACTGACCTAGTCTTCAGTGACAGGGCCAGTTTTGACTGTATTAGTTTTTAGTCTACAGATACAGTTTTGAAAAGCAATTAAAAAGACTTACTTCACCCTGGGTCCCTCCCCACAGGTAACCAGTGTTGTTAGTTTATTTTGTACTCTAAGATCTGTCTAGTCCTTTTTGACTTTCAAATAATATGAATTTAAGTGAAAATATCAGAATAAATATTGTATCTTCTATAATTAAAACTATGTCAACTGAACTGTACATCTAGAGATAGCTAAAATGGTAAATTTTATGTTCTGTATATTTTACAGTTAGGAAAAAAATGTCAAAATTACATATTCATGTGGGCAGGGACAAGAGGGTACCAAGAAAACACTTTTACATGTCTGGTTAGAGGGGTGACATTGTGAATATTGAATATTTTGTTCATTTTTTGTGTGATAACGTTGTCTGTTCAGTAACAAGTAGCAACTCTCTTTCTCTTGCTTGTTTGAAGAGAGAACACATGATGAGCTGTTATTGGGAGCAGCCCAGGCCCGTGGCACCCCGCCATGACCCCAGCAGGCCCTACGCGGAGCAGTACCGCATAGATGCCCAGCAGTTTGCACACCTGTTCCAGCTGGTCTCACCCTGGGCCTGTGGGGCCCACACGGAGATCCTCGCCGAACGGACTTTCAGGCTCCTGGATGATAACGTGGACCAGCTCATTGAATTCAAAGCGTTTGTGAGCTGTCTAGGTACGACTCTGTGGGGTTTAGTGCAGTGAGTTACTTCGGGGTGTGGATCTGTGAACAGAAGACCACATGAATTGTTGGAGCGTGCAGGTACACCCAGTGAAATGCATTGCAACTGGCCTGACATGATTTTGTGATTCTGAAAAGTCATTTTGCAAGTTCCCCTCAGGACCACTTTTAGGCTTCCTTCAGGGGAACAGGAGAGGGGCCTAGACCTCAATGTGCAGGGCATTCTCTTGTTTTCCCTGGCAGCCACAGTGCGGTGACGACTAGTTGGGAGCCAGGTTCCCAACCTTTGTCTGTAAAATGAAGATCCTTTGGAAGGTATGAGGCCAGACAACATTCACAAGTTGTCCTAGTTCACACAGTCACCAGCCCCTGCCAGTAACATTTTCACTTCCAAGATGCTGTGTGTCCAGAGCGGGGGTGTTGGGGGCGGCAAGTATTGACCTTCCTGAGTTTTCTCTCCACAATGAGTTTTATGTTATGACACATGTACTTTTACCAGTTGTATCAACTCGATCTCTTTTGCTTTTTAAAATTTTTGCAGATATTATGTATAATGGAGAAATGAATGAGAAAATCAAACTATTATATAAGCTTCACATCCCTCCAGGTAAGAACATCCAAGTAGAAGAATCAGGCTGTGCTCTGCTTTAACACAAGATCAGCTTGTGCGTGATGCTGAAGTTCTTCTCTTTTAAATTTTTATTTACATTCAAGGCAGCAGATGTTTCTAGTTTGGGTTTTCAGATCACAAGTGTTAAATACGGTACTGCATGACCTATGGCAGGAGTTCCCAAACTGACTGTGAGTGTGCATCAGAATCTCCTGGAGGGCTTGTTAAACCAGGTTACTGGGCCCCAGCCCAGATTTCTGACTCCCTGGGTCTGAGGACCTCACCTTGACAATCACTGGCTTGTGGAAAGTGTTCAGGAGCCAGACTCTGATTCCCTCAATAGATGATTATTTTAGGCTACTGATTTGAAGGACCATTTCATTTTTCTAGTGTCTATGACCAGGCTTCCTTCAAATTTAAGCTGGTAACCAGGAACACAAGAAGCTGTTTTGGAGCTTATGAGGTCAAACTTGATGTTGACAGGAACAAGAAGAAGGAAAGCTATTAAGGTGATCATCCTTGGGTCTTCAAAATGAGAAGAGATGAATTAGAAATCCCAGAGGGTCTCCAGCCCCCCAGTGCTGTGGTTCTAGTGTTAGTTGGTACCTGTGACGGAACTTCCCAGTGAGAAGCCGGGGGAGGCCAGGCTGGTGGGCTCTGTGGGGGGTTCCAGGGCCATGAGATCCTCTGTGTGATTTTTACAAAGATTAAAGCATGTACAGCAGTCTCCCTTATTCACGGGGCATATGTTCCAAAACTTCCTGGGGGATGCCTGAAACTGGATAATGCCAAACCCTGCATACACTACATGTTTTTGACCTGATGACTGAGATGGTGACTGAGTGACTAACAGGTGGGTAGCATAAACATCTTGGAGACACTGGTCAAAGGGAAGATTTACTTTCCAGGTTTGATGGAGTGCAACAGCGCAAGATTTCATCATGCTACTTAGAACAGCATACAATTTAAAATTTAGGAATTATTTCTAGGATTTGCCATGGAATAGTCAGACTGTGACTGACCACGGGTAACTAGAACTGCAGAAAATAACACTGTGGATCATGGAGAACGACGCACAAAAGTTGAAAATACACACGGACACTGTCTGTGAGTTGTGTGGGTACACTTCCTGGACTGAGCCATTACTGGGTTGGCATGTGTACCTTAGGCATCTGGTCCCCAGAGAGCATTCTGAACCCACCACGCAGTCTCTCTGCAGCCTTCTCACAGACCCACACATTTACTTCAGCTCAAGTTGTTGAGCATCAGTTTAGTTCTCCACCCTTTATGCCAGCATAAGAATTTTACTTTTTGATTTAATTTGCCCTTATTTTTCACAAATGATTTTCTACTAACACAGAAGACACACATAATTGTTCCTCTGTTTTCACTATATTTTCTTAACTATCGTTATCTGTTTGGCATTCCTAAGTAAATGTGAGTGATTTTATTTTATTCAATTATTTGATAGTGATTTTTAAATAAACTTTTAAATATGGTACTGTATGACCTGTGGCAGGAGTTTTGATATATGGAAAGGTTGCATATATAGTACAGATAGAGTTTCCATCTTGGTGTATCTTTTTTCTTTTCTTTTGAGTCAGAGTCTCACTGTTACCCAGGCTAGAGTGCAGTGGCACGCTCACAGCCACTGCAGCCTCCACCTGCTGGGCTCAGGCAATCCTTCTGCCTCAGCCTTCCAAGTAGCTTGAATTACAGGCACAAGCCATCATGCCTGGCTAATTTTTTAATTTACTGTAGAGACGAGGTCTTGCCAAGTTGTCCAGGCTGGTCTCGAACCCCTGGACTCAGGCAATCTTTTTACCTCTGCCTCCCAAAGTGCTGGGATTACAGGTGTGAGCCACTGCACCTGGCTGGTTTGGTATATCTTTACATTTATTTTAGGGTTTTGAATTACCACTTGATTTTTGATTCTTGACCTGACTGCATAATAAATTACTATTTGTTTCCAAAGCACGAGTTTATTTCTAGAAGAATTTTAATTACATTAATTTATTAAAAGCATTTGTAGTCCTTCATGGTTTCAGAAAATCAATTGTTCAAACCTTTTTGAACATATATGACTGTGATATTTATATTGTGTGACTTTGAATTTAGGTTAAATGGTAATTAAGATTTGATTTTTTAAAAAACTGCATGCTTAATATTTGAATTTTTGATGCAGTTTTTAAGAAGTCTTAAGAATGCAGACAACTTAAAACTTCTGTTTAAGAGCATCGATTTCCTGAGCACATGAAGACTTACCTCTGGGGACTTTTTACTTAAATAGACTTAATTTTAACACGTATTTACTCTCCCTTAAAATGAGTAACTTTTTAAAGGTGGGACAAATACAATAGTCAGAAAACAAAAGTTTAAAATCACTAACTAGGAAGTATAATGAAGAGTACCTCAAGTTGTAATTTGTGCCTATAAAATTCTTTTCCACCTGGAAGTCTTATTTGCCTGTGAGGAGGCAGTGGCACCAAGCACAGCACATCAGACTTTACTGCAACACCCACTTGCATAGAGAAAGTGGGACCCTCGTCCCAGTAATGTAGTAGACGGAAGGAAGTCTTTTGTGAACTGGGTTATAAAGTATCTGAGGCAACTCAGGAAGTAATGAGGAGTTGGAACCCTAGGCCTTACACACTTCCAGAGGAGCTCACTTTATGAGCTCCTTGGCATTGCCAATGCTGATTAGGAACTAGAGAAATACTGCAGATGATTTGATACCATGTTAGGTGATACCCAGATGAAGAGTATTCCAGAAGATTATGAAATCACGAGTTTAATTGCAGATTAATAAGCCTATTGATACTGGCCATTTTGCTCAGTTAATTACACTAACTGGACTTCTAGAGCAGAGCTTCCTGGGTGGACATTATTATCATTGGAAAGAAACATCAACACAACCTACTGAGAATAATATATTGTAAATAGCCAACACACACACACAAAGGAGAGGATTTGGAGGCTTTCTGAGAGCGGGGCTGTGGCGACCCCTCGGCATCATAAGCTCTTTTCGGACTCTGGAACTCAGGGAACACACTGTTTTATTCACAGAGTAGCTTTCCAAAAGGTTCACCTGCCAGTCTAGAGCCACATTAAGTGATGTCCTTAAAATGCTGAAAAAAACTTGTGCTTCTCCACCTTGTATTCAACTTTATGTGAAGAAATAGAGGTTTCTTTCTGAAGTTGTGCACCTGCTGTCTAAAGGAAGAGTTTTGTCAAGAAGTGGAGTTGAGGAGAAATCTTGAATGATTCCAATTTGCAACTGGTTAAGGATAGTTATTGGCTTCAAAAAAGGACTTCAGATGTTGAAAACCTAAATGAACGAGTTGAAAATTAAAGGAACACATGAAATTATGTTAACATGTCCTAATAAAATATAGATTCAAAGTAAAAACCCAGTTCAGACATAAAGGAGATTATAGATTCTTCGTTAGTGATATTTAGTCAGTGCTACAGTTTGAATTCTCAAACATAATTATTGACTAGTATAGCAATATCTGTGTATGAATGAGGGAAAGCTTCATTATTTTGAAATATTTGATATGAAAAAGTGTTGACTGGATTCAAAACCCAGTCACATTAGCCAAAAAAGGTCAACATTAGGTTTCTGTGAAAGAAAGAAAGGCTGGCTGGATAGAATGATCATTTGCTTGAAGTAGAATTGAGAGCACTGGATCCATTCAAATCTTCCATAATAAAAAAGGGGTTTTCTGTAGAGAAAAATGCCATTTGTGTCCACCTTCTTGTTCAGTTTCTCACTGATGGTGACAGTTTGTTTTGAAGAGGTCATCATTTTAAAGACCTAATCGAGAATTGCTTGTAGCTACTTTAATATTAATATTAGTATGAAAACTTATATTTAAAAAAATCCCAGGTGTGCTAAGATTTCAGTAACATTTGGTCCTTTTTGTCATTTGACACTATTGTCTGTGATAAAATACGTTAGAATAGATCTGCTGTCCAAACCTATGGAGTACAGCAGGAAATCTACGAGGTCTCTGCACAGCATGGTCTGCTTTGCCAGGAGTGCCTACATATGAGATGGTAGATACTGATATATACAGTTGTGTCGTGCAGAACAACATTCCAGTCAACTCTGGACTGCATATATGACGGTGGTCCCATCAGATGATAATGAAAAATTCCTGTCACAGAGTGATATCTTAGCCACTGTAAATGTCGTAGCAGAATGTATTACTCACATGTTTGTGGTGATGCTGATGTAAACAAATCTGCACTGCTAGTCATACAAATGTCTAGCACATACAACCATGTGTGGCACATAATACTTGTGACAATGAACAATAGTCTTACTGGTTTATGTATTCATTGTACTAATCAGTATTTTAGCATATACTCCTACTCCAAAAAAAGTTAACTGTAAAACAGCCTCAGGCAGGTCCTTCAGGAGATGTTCCAGAAGAAGGCATTGCTGTCACAGAAGATGACAGCTCCATGTGTGTTATTGCCCTGGAAGACCTTTCAGTGGGACAAGCTGTGGAGGTGGAAGACAGTGAGAGTGATGATCCTGACCTTGTTTAGGCCTAGGTTAATGTGTGTGTTTGAGAGTTAGTTTTTAACAGAAAATTTCTGAAAGCACATAACAAATTTTTAAAATTGGACAAAAGCATAGAATAATGATATAAGGAAAGAAAACATGTTTGTACAGCTGTACAATGTGTTTGTGTTTTAAGTGTTATACTACAAAAGGGTCAAAAAGTTAAATTAAAAAGTTTATAAAGGAAAAAAGTTACAGTAAGCTAAGGTTAATTTATTATTAAAGAAATGACTTTTTTTTTTTTTTTTTAAATCAGTGTCCCACTCTGCTGCCCGGGCTGGAGTGTAGTGGTACAAACATGGCTCACTATGGCCTCAACCTCCTGGGCTTAGGTAATCCTCCTGTGTCAGCCTTCTGAGTAGCTGAGCCTATAGGCATGTAGCACCATGCCCAGCTAAATTTTACATTTTTTTGTAGAAATGAG